GCCATCGAAAGCTGCTTTTGAATTAAAAAACATTGTTAGCAATGACAACATCTTTAATTATTTTAAATAAGAAACTGTTGGAAGTGAACCAAACAACTACGCAAACACTACGATGGAATTGTAGAAGCCATACATCAAGCAGCTTATGAGAGCCTCTGAGAAATAGAACATACTGGTGGGAAAGGAATATGTGACTCATGGTGGAATAATTCTTTGGCAGGGAAAGTGCGAGACAAGAAAATTGCTAATAATACATGATTAAGCACTCAAGATATTGAAGACAGAGAATGGTATCACCAAATTAGTAGAGAAGATAAACAAGAAGTAAGAAAAGCAAAAAATGAAGCTTGGGATAGAGTATGTGAAGATGTAGAACAGAGTATAGGCAATGCCAGATCAAAGAACACATGAAAAATAATAAGGAACCTCAGACAAAACAAAAAGCAAAATTCAGTACTACAACCTATAAGTATAGATAATTTAAAATATATTACGAAGAACTTGGGAAAGAAAATAGGTTTGCATTTAGTAACACATACAACATAGAGCTCGCGGAACTGGCTGATGCAATATATTACAGTGAGAGAGACTGGAGAAAACAATACAGAGATTTAAAAATGGAAAAGCAGCCAGTCCAGGATTGGTAAACATTGAACTGCTTAAGCATGGTCCCAGTTTATTATTGGATCTTTTTACTCAACTATACAATAGATGTTTAATGGGGGAAGAATTACCCAAGGACTTCAAGAAAGCATATATATCTAACATCTACAGAAAAGATGATAGAAAATAGAGTGAAAATTATACAGGTATAACTGTCCTTAGCAGCATTGGCCGAGTGTATGGGAAAATATTAAAAACCCAACTGGAAAGAGACCTCATTGATGTTAAGGAACAGAGTGGCTTTCGAGCAGGGCGCTCATGTATCGATAATGTGTTCAGTATTAGACAGGTAACCGACAAACGTCTCGCCCATAACTTGGAGACACACATTGTGTTTATTGATTTGCATAAGCCTACAACACTATTCCATCTAGGCTATGGATGGCAATGAACCATTAAAGATTTGTACAGTGATAATACAGCCAAATAAACGTAGGGAGAAACATTTCAGCAATATTTCCAGTAAATAAAGGTTTACTGATTACTTTATTCAGAACTAGCTGAGAAGGGCTGCAGCTACCTCAGTGGGTCATTGTCAGATAGAGTTCTGGCCAGGAGAACTAGAGAGAGGGGAAAGGGTGAGGGACACCCTCTCCCAAGACCTTAGACACCAATTGTGAGTGAATATAATACCAGGCTGGGAGAGGGGCACAGCTTGAAGCTGGCCCCCTAGGGAGAAAAACAGAGTTTAGTTCAATTGCAAAAATCTACCTGGGAGTATGTCATATCAATCAAAGAAATGATACAAGTACCTGTGATTCTGGAGCACTGACATTGTATGTCTTCTTTTCTCCAATATTTTTATCAGCATCATTCCAACCATAAGAAACAAACGGCATCTTCTTTTCTTCAAAAAAATATTTCCTACTCGTTTTAGACAATGATGAAAATCGAGATGGAAAGTCACGTCTATTATACTCAGGACTGCAACATGAAGCTGGTCTCTCAGTAAATTTTAATCTGTCCTCAGAACTACTACCCATTGCAGATTGCATCATGGTTGAAACAGATTCAGGACTTTTTGTAGAGATCATTACATTTGGTCTCTGGGGACCAGCACTTTCTTTCTTTGTATCTTTATACTCCGGTGAAGATGTTCTTAAATTCTTCATCAAATGATGAAGTTCTGGAGGATCTTCAGGTGAAGATGCTCTGAAATATAAATTGCTCTGAAATAAATTTTTGGTGATTTTTGGTAATTTTGGTAAATTCCAAATATTAACATTACCAATAAGAAAACATTTTTTGAAACAAATTTACAGAAATTAGTCAAGAATTTAACAGTAGAGCAAGATTTAAAATGTTAAGAACTGCATTAAATTGGTCTAACATCATATAATGCTCCTCATATACAAAGAGAATACAAGAATAAATTATCTCAGAACAAAATTGCATCATGGACTCTTTCATTCAGAACTCTTTGCAAAACCTCTGGGCAAAATGTTTTCAACCCACATTATATTTTTTAATAAGGCTGATTTATCTATCAAACATTTATGTTTAATGACACGATAAAAATCTCTCAATAAGGCATTATTATTTATCACAAATTTAAATAATAATAATAATAATAATAATAATAATAATAATAATAATAATAATAATAATAATAATACAGTAAAATCAGTCTACGACGGAACGTCTGTAAGACAGAAACCTGTCATCCCAGACACAAAACTCAGAATGGAACGATTTTATAAGTGAAAAAGACCTCTCAAGCCGGAAACTTCTCTAATGCGGAAATGGAATGATTTTTTGAGAACGAAAATAGAATATTACCTGGCTAAGAAGTATTTTTTTTTTCAGCAATTTATTTTTAAATTTTATCTTTGGCATGGCTTAGTGTGAAGGATCACAAGCTGAAAATAGTGACGCTAAAACTACACGTACTTTCTCGCCCGTTTTTTCAAACAAAATAACGCGAAAGTACTCAAATTTTCGAAAGATTGTACATAACCTTATTTAAAAATCTATCTTTAAGGGACAAGTTTTATTAAGGGAAAAAATATATACTTTTAATATTTTAGTTGAAGGAAGACACCGAATATTTTTTGAACTTTTGCAATTTTAGACAAATCAGGATTTTTAACCAGCATGAGACATGCGCCATTCTCTTAAACGTCCTTCACACTATTCAACAATGAAATTTAATAAAAAACGATGGAGACATTTTTTGTTAACTTTAAAAATGTTCCGGGGTCTCCACGTAAATCTTACAAAATTAATTTAAAATATTGGTTTCAAATTCAAGGAGCCCTCACATCAGCTAGATTGATTGTAGAATATCAATTTTAGAGAAAATCAGCTGAACGGTTTAGCTGCTAGCGTTGTTCACAGACGGACGGACAGACGTTTTGCCGTCATTCGATTTTTCGGTATTAAGGACCCCCAAAGCATGGGTTCTGGCTACAATACGTGTTAGAGGATATTTTTTCCTAATGTAGAACTATGTAGGATTTATTCATTTTTTCTTTACCAGGGCCTTGTAATAAGAGTTTTCTGCCAAGAATTCGCCGTTTTTTTCGTACAGCATTACATAACTTTCTGCCTTCTCCTTAGCTAGAAAGTAAAAATACAGTAGACGGTGAGCTATTCCTCTAATGTCTGCTGTGGCGAGCACGGCGGCTGTTTTGCCGTGACTTTTCATGCTTTAGTGATTATCAAGGTCTCAACAAGCGCGACTGCGACGCTGTCGTTCCGAATCTTTAACGTTGGTCGCCCATGCCCCGTTCAATTATCAAAAGCGTCACCACGTTTCTCAGTCGACAATAGAATTCCGGCAAGGCCGCCTTGCATTCTAGAGTAGCAGTTGTAGGGTGGGCGAGGTGTAGACCACACAAATTAGTGGCCGCTCGCAGTATAGTGTAGCCTGTTTTACACGGTCATTTTTGCATAATTTTTTTGTACCGTAAATGGATGAAAAAAGGACGTTTGTTTCTACGCAGTATGTTTCGGTGCCGAAACTGGATGAGTGTTTTACACGGTCATTTCTGTCTTTGTACGTAATCTTGAAGAAAATACTTTCTCCGGACGCCGCATACAGCGCTGAAGTTCAAACATTTGAACATGGCATCTGTGGTAACAAATTAAATAAGGTTAGGTCAGGACTGAGCTCGGATGCGACAATATTAGAATACAGTGCATAATTTATTTCTCTTTACGCAACCACTTCACATTACAATTCAACACATCAGAACGCTCTCAGGCAACTACAAAATGATCATATCGCTCCACACGCATCACAAACTAGAGAAACTTCCGTAAAGTGCCGCCAGGAGCGCGGTAGTCAAACTGGATGAAATCTGTACCGAAAAATTAAGCATGCGTCATTTTTTCGTACAAATTACATCCAGTCTGGCCTTCATCTTTTCTGAACCGGCGAAAAATGATGAAAAAATGATCGTGTAAAACAGGCTTAAGAAAGCTGTGTGCCAAAAGTCTTTGCGTACTCAATACGTACTGCGTACGTGCAAAACCCTTCTACAGAAGATGAACATTAGAACAAAGTTCTGCAAAAGACCTAGTTGCGAATTGAAAGCACTCAAATGCATTAGACAAAATTATATCTAAAATACAGTACTTAAGTTATATGATGAATTTTTGGCAACTCTATAAGACGGAAACCTGCCAAGACGGAAATGTTTTTAAGGAACCGTCAGGTTCCGTCTTAGGTTTTACTGTACTACTATAACTTAAATATCCTGTAATAATTGAAACTTAATTTTCTCTGTGAAAAACAAAAGTTTTCCTGATATTTTACTGCTGGTGGAGTGCGTAAGTTATAATTATTTGTAGTTTTATACCATTCAGAGAGGTATTCAATACTTAAATCTGGATATTTGAGAAAAAAACTCAAATATTTAATAAAAGTTTGTTTAACCTCAATAAATCAAACCCTTCAGTATCTTACTTTTCCTCTGGGGTCCAGTCAGGAGTCTGAACAGCAACCTCGTGAGCAAGAATCTCATCAGTTTCTGGGTCCATCAACCGGACTTGTCGCTGAGTTCCACTCTTCTTTTTTGATAGGCATGATTCTTGGACGTTCCCTTGAATGTCGCTTGATTTCTCCAAGGAGTCCAGAATGACAGGTGCAGTAAAATCCTGAATTCTGAAAATCAATTAGTTTTCTATCTGAATTTCATATTACTACTTTTAAATTAATTTATTTTCTTATATTTAATAAACAGTAATAATAAATATTAATGTGACCACTTGATGTTTTCTGTACTGCACCATTCTGCAATTTTTCAGCAATGATTGCAGCTGTGTCATACAGATTCGAACTTTTTCAGTAGTTTAACATCAAGTTCAATTAATGTTTTAATATCCTATTGCTTTGAAGTGCGCGCGCGCTTCACACGAAACGCACGCGCGCACTCGCGCGCGCACACCAACACACGCACGCACACACACACACACACACACACACACACACACACACACGCACGCACACCCACGCACGCACACCCACACCCCCACACCCACACACCTCCCCACACCCACACACCTCCCCACACCCACACACCTCCCCACACCCACACACCTCCCCACACCCACACACACACAGACACACACCAAAAAAATATGTTTTGAGGCTTTATGTGAAGTTCCCTCAATAATCAAAATATCAGTTTGAAACTCCCAAAGCCACAATTTCATTCAAATCGATTGGGGAATATCAATTTCAAAGAAAATTGGCTGGGTAGGCGGTAGCATTGACCATTAGCATTTTCTGGTGCACTGTTACATAAAACTTTCCAACCTAAGAATGAATTTGTAGGGCAAGAAAGTAAAAAATGTGTAATTGGAATAAAATCGCTCTTCAAAATTGACAGTTTTTTGGCAAAACGATTTTAAAATAGGCATCACACACCCATTTAGGAGGTTTTAGGCACTCTTGTATGATTTCAGTAAATATACTTCTTCATATTTCGCAAACATCTGCCATTATTTTCCATAACCTCCTAAAAGAACTAAATAGGCATTGTCCTAAAATCTGAGATCCAGTAACGACACATTCAACCAAAACATATTTAATTTCCCCTTCAAAAATGTCTCTGGAGCCGGTCCTAATTAACAACAATAATAATACTATTCATCCACCACCTAAACACTTTATGTTGCATAAGGTAACATTCAATTCATTAAATGAAAACTAAAATAATTTACAATAAATTAACACTCATATTGCATTAAAAAAGTTAAAAGATTCTAATTCAAATTACTGAGAATCAATAATGTAGTACAAAAGAGGTTTTTTCTTGACACTAGATGGTTACTTCTCAGTGACAATTGTTGACACAAAAAAAAAAGGTGCATTTCTTTTCTTCAAAAAGCTTTTAGATACTGTTGTTTTTCTTATATCAATCTCCAAAATTTTAAAACAGTAACCAGTTTATACCATTTCTGAAGAAAGGAACATGCAGAGAATACTCCACAATTTATAAAATCAATAATACAATCAACTTTTTTCTGAGAGAGTGAGTGATAATTTGGTGTCCAGATAAGATTATTTTGATCATTCGCCCTGAGTGTGTAGTCCAAATTATAGTCATGAGGTGGTAGTGTTACGCTCCCTGAGAAACGTGATATCCAGTGCTAGCCTACATATCGGCCACATAATGTCCCCCACAAGGGCATGCTCCAGTTGCCACAAGCTCTAAGCTCCTGACTGGTAAAAGTGTAAGAGTAAAGGAGAGAAAGGGAACAAGGGTGAGGACAGAAAGATTGCATGCAGCCCCTGACCCGTTTGTTCAGCATTGGCCTCATGTTGATTGGAGAAACCACGGAAAAATACCAACTAGAGCAGCTGGCCTCAACATTTCTCTTTCAAACAGCAGCTGAATTCTATTTACCTATCTACTATTGTCGAAAATCTGCGAGTGAACTCAAAGTCTAGGTCCTCCTAGTCAGCGAAGCTGCCCTTTTACTGAAATTGAGTGTTGGTTAGAGCTAAAAAAAACATGGAGGGGGGGAAAGAAAACTCTTGAGAATAACAATTGGTAATCTTTGGTTTGAATTAGAAAACAAAGTCAAGACAGAACCAATAAGCTCCAAGGTGGTCCTGAAATGCACACTTCGAAGAGCATGGAAACATAATCCTTTTCAGTACCAACAAACTTCAAGAAAGTATGCTGAAACTTCCAAAGGAGACTATTAAAAATTGTGGGAATACTACTAAATATGCTCATCTTACCTCCTATTATTTCTTACCAAACATTTCTGTAAAAACAATCAGCAATCAGGTTTGAGTTGTTCACATATTTCAGTGGTACTACAAATCGATAGTTACAGAAATAATTTTAATTTCCAATGTGCTATTTTTGTTTTATGCATTATGTTCAATACAATATTATTACTACGGCAAATGTCACAGGTAAAACTGATTTTTGTTTTGTACAAAAAATTCCTTTTCATTCATTTCTTTTGTTACTTTCCTTGGAAATCCTAATGTTTGAATATAAAAGCAAGTCACAGTATGTCACCATTTCCATATATGTTTTTTCAATTCAATTCTTAGATTTTTTCAATCCCTTCATAAACAATCTTCATACCCAAACAAACTTCATATCTACAACTTGTTTTGTTACTTTTATAATTACCATAAAACTGAAATGTGCTGGAAGAATCCACTTTGCAAATCTAGAAATAACAAATTTCTCTACAATTAAGTAACATTACTTCCCCAATTCTTCCCAATCAATGCTGAAAATGATGAATTTTCATTGTGAAGCGAATCTAATGAACAGAGATGGCTAACTTGCCTCATTCCATCACAGGGCTTGTACACTAATTATTTACAGGAAAATTGTCTTAAAATTAGGAACACATTTTCCAGAAGTGCCAAAGAGCCCTGTAAGTAAATATTAATCTGACAGTTTTTTCGTCAATTCTAGTACTATACGAATGAAGTAAAATATTTACCTATTTTTACATTCCTCTGTCCCATCATCACAAACGCAAGGCTCATCGGTTATTTGGTATGACCAGTAATGATGAGCTTGATTCACAGATCGTTGGAATTCTCTGAAAATAGATAGTTCACATTTAGGTGATGATCAATTACGATATTAGTTAGACAGAGACGAGATAAAGGCAAACCTTTGTGGTACACCCGAACTGTTTCTCAGAATTCTAAGAAAATCGACGAAATGTCAGATGAACTGTCAAAACATCTTACCTGAAACGTATATTTTCTTGCCAAATTTGTTTTCGAAGGTCTTGAGTTAAAGAATGAAATTGAAGACGATATTCAGATTTTTTATGAACCATTACGAGAAGTTACAGCGAATGTTAAAAGGAATTTTCTCTAAAACAATATCTGAAACCGAACGCGAGTGTGAAAAGCGATGTAAACATAAACAACAGTGGTGCCAACAATATAAAGAAAATTTTGGAGCAGATCCGGAGCATTGATGTATACATTAGCCGATAGATAGCGAACATCACGCTGCCAATGACCAGAACACTGACATTCAGGGCTGGTGAGGACAGCACTATGGCTTCTGGGAGGCAAGTTTCAGATGCTGAAAGGCGCGGTTAAAATTCGGCATATTATTTTGTGCTGATTTTTTTTTTAAATCACTGACAGTGCTAGGGTAAAAAAATCTTTGGAGGTTTTCGTTTTCTACACGGACTTAGAAATGTGTTTGTGTTGGGTAGCTACACTTTCTACAAGTGAGTGCATGGAGCAATACTTTATCCAAGGTGAATGTGCATGAAGGAATACAGAATCATATCATTATATATTCCTCCACGGAAAGTGTTTCAGGAGATGGCAGAAGATACAAAGCGATGGACCTGCTTCCATTGTCCGAAACCATGGCGTCAGGTAACTCGCGCTTCCCGAAGAATTTCTCTAAAGTTGTCAATGTCTCTAATGTTGTTTTTGTCGAGTTGTGCTGGTGTCGAATAGCTCTGGCCTCTTTCAATATAAATCTATTTCAATCAGGAAGTATGCTTGTATTGGTCCTGCGAAATCAATGTAAATCCGTGACAATGGTTTGTCAAATTTGCGCTAAGTCACCTGCTTATTTTTTTTAAATCACGATCTTCTCTGCAAGTCTGACAATCTGTAATCATCTTCTCCATATGCAATCGGTCAATTCCTGGCCACCAGACCCTACTCCGAGCAATAGCTTTAGTGCGAGCCTTCCCTTGATGAACCTTGTGTAAAAGACTGAACACTATTGAGGTCTGAGTTTTCGAGACATTATTTTTCGACTTCCCCACAAAACGCTACCTCGATCTACATCTCTTCTGGCTTTTATTGCGACGAACGTTCCAATCGGTATTTTGGAAGACCTTTGACTGATCCATGGAGAACAACGCGTTGTACTCTGATCAGTTCTATGTCTTTGTCTATCTCTTCTTCTAAGTTCTTGACCGTCAGTGGAGAATCCTCTGGAGCTACTTCTAACAATAACATCCCTGCTGGTTCTCAAATGCCTTCCTCCCTGCTGGGCAACAGCAATTTACTTCAAGCGTCAGCGTTTCGGTGGTATTTATAGGATTTGTATTCCAATTTGTAGCAATATCTCCCAAGCATTCTCACACTGTTGTTACATTGCGATCCCGGATATATCTTTAACATTTTTTCACTCCAATCATTACTGAAAGAGCTTCTTTGTTCAACTGAGTGTAGTTCTTTTCCGCAGCCCTCAGTGTTCTCGATCCCTAAACTGTCGGGGCTTCTGATCCATCCACCATTAAGTGCGATAGAACCGTTCTTACCCCATACGATGACGCATTGCAAACCAATATCAGTAGTATCTCCGGGTCGTAATGAGTCAAAATATGTTAGTGCGTAACTACCTTTTATCTATTGAAACGTTTTACTTGTTCTGTACCCCATTTCCAACCAGCATTCGAGTAATGTAATTGGTCGATTCATGTAATAACTGGTTGAGCGGCTGTACCAATCCTGCTTCGTTAGGAATGGATCTTTCGTAAACATTTATAAAGCCCAAGAATGATTCCAGTTGATTTATATCGCTTGGCATTGCAAGTAGCGTACAGTTTATCTTTCAAAGGTCGAAAACCCTCTTCATCCAACCATCCAAATGTTACTGAGACGTTTGCAAATTTACATTCCCCGGCTTTCCCCATATACCATTCCCCTCCGCACTGCTGGTTGTTAATGTATCATCGAGATATACCAAAACACCTGGATTTCCCCGGAGCAAGTTCTTCAACCGTCTTCAACCGTCGAAACAACGCCGGAGTCGACGAGATTCCAAATGGCAGAATTGTCTACGCTAGGGACGAGCCACGTTTCCGTCGTGAGCGGACGTTTCGGTCAACATGTTGTGGCCTTCCTCGCGGAGTCCGCTTTGCAGTACGCTCGGAGGAAGACCACAATATGTTTGCCGAAACGTCAGCCACCTCTATAGAGACGCGGCTCATCCCGGATAGCCTAAACATTACGAACTCCGGCCGAGGAAGCCTACACATTCATATCCCAATGGCAGTCCTTTTACTTGGAAAACTCCTTTCATTGTGTTCATGTTGAGGATCAGCTAAGGATACTTGCGCCCTCTCTAAATCTATTTTTGGGAACAGCTTCTCTCCTGCCAAAGTTATTAGAGCTTCAGTAATACTCATTAGATGGTATATTTCGGTCTGCATGACTATTTATTGTCCTTTTGTAGTCTTCATAGATGGAAACGTCTCCAATTTTAGGGACTGTAACATTAGTTGCAACCCATGATGACTGCTTGACTGGTTTCAAGATACCTTTCTTCACCATTCTTTCAATCTCCACTTCAACCCTGTTTTAAAGCGCAAAAGTAAACTGGCGATGTTTTAAAAATTGGGTGCATCGTCCTCGATCAATATGCACTTGATTCCCCGAAAATATCCTTATTTCTCCGAAAAAAGTCTGCAAATCTATCTAACTGTAGTGGAACTGCATCTACATCCATCCTGTGCACGTCGAACGAAAACTTCAACTCTTTGAAACGTTGCGAGCCACCAGCTACTCTGGCCTCAGGTAGGTAATTGCGGCGTCACAAATATCTATTTTTAAGTGGACTCCCGATAAGCTAAGTTCGTGGCTTCTCTGAGATAACGGTACTGGAGTACGTAAGATAGAATGGCAAGGTGAGCAAGGAACGTTCAACTACTTTCTAACAACGTCTTTAATAAGACGAAAATACGAGTATCCCTTGCCATCTAGAAGCTCCGTGTCCTCCATGGCAGGTGAACTGCGAACAGCTGTCGGACGGTACTTTTATACACTCCGAGTGGCAGTGCTTGGCCACACGCACGTGCGGGTACGTCAAGGGAGGAGATATGAAATATTTATTGAGGGGATCACACTCCATATGAAGCGTTTCCGCTTTTTACTATCCGTTCACTTAAGAAACATCCTGAGGTAAACAAATGCACGTGCGTTAGGATGATTCTCATTGGTTTGCAGTGTGCTCTGCGTTTGTATGTCGTGACGCTTAAGTAAATACTTCTCTGTATACGAACTAATTTATCTGCCATTCTTCTTTAAATTAACCTTGCGTCAAAACTATTTCAACGGTTTCGAGAAAGGAGACCAGTGTGAACTGAATGCATGTTGCTGCGCGATAAAGTTACGAGCCTCTGATAGTTCAGCCCACGAACGTGCTGATCGACACGGGTCAGGCGCGTCGAACACGGCTCGCGGAACAGCGGCGCCGCGCCGCCGATCGGCCTGCAAGGCCCTGCTATTCAGATCATTTTAGAATGTCGGAGAGTGGGGCTGGCCCTTCAATAATTAAACACGAAGGTGGAAAGTTTCTTCGGAGTAGAGAAAAGCGCATCGTTCTGAAAGTTTTCAATTCGTTATTGCTTAAGAATCCTTCGTTACCAGTGAAGCAAACCGCAGAGTTCACTGAAACAGCCGAGTCCAGCGTATCGAAACTCCGGAAAGAGCTCACTGACAAGGAACAACTACAAACGCCAGAGAAGAAAATAAATGGGAAGAAACTTGAAGCATTCGATGACTTTGTATTCAGATCTGTTCTATCGAAAGTGAAGACTGCATCAAAAGAGCAAAAGTGCAGAAACAAAACACCAACGCTTGCGATATTGTTGCAGCTTGTGAATTGTGATCACGAACTATGTTTTTAGAGCAACCAATTTATACAAATAGTTGACAACATCCGGTTATTAATCACTTCCTGAAGTGGACTGATCGTAAGTAAAGTAGTTGCATGAGCATGACATTTGCATAACAGCTCGTATTCATTTTGAATTGGTGGGATATGCTACTCGCGTAATCGAAAGTAGTGCGCTAGTTGTCCAATCAGGAGCGTAGTGCAGCGCAAAGATTTCTTCAGTTTGTTTACATCAGGTTTTTTGTCGGAGGAACGGATAGTAGAGATACTGGGATAATCTTAAACTACGGCCCACGCCAATGAATGGCGATGTACCGCTGTCATCTGCGTGCCCTCAGGGTTGTATGTACATGTACCTGTTATCACTGGATGTGACTTTCTGCTCCACAATAAAGTAGCAACTTTATGCAATTTTATGCATTGAATATGAAAAAAACATTTAATTATTACTTGCCAAGTCAACAAACAATTCTCCTAGCTATAATCAATCTCATGAATTGAACGTGGAAAACATAAAAATATCACTTAGGTCGATAGAGAATAATTAAAGGTGTGCAGATGTGATTTTCTTATGAGACTCTGAGGTGCGTCTTCCGTAGAAAGGTAAGGCATATCTTATACATAGAATATATTAATACATCATGCGTTCATTATCTGTTACACGATCAAACTAGTCCCGTTCCCTTCCAGCACAAGAGTGGCAGATTAACCTCTGAACCATTAAATTTCACGTAGACAGTACACTCTCCTCCCAGGATCTTCAATTTCTGTGATGACTATATCTGTTGAACAAGTTTAGAATCCATCAACTTCTGCTTTGCTAACATGCGGTTGAACGTATCCTTTCCAATGAATGCAAGTCTGGCGCCGGAGTTAGTTTCCATGACCACGTCCTGTCCACGAATCTGCACTTGTTCCACGTAAGGATTGTCCTCTGATCCATCTTTGAGTTCAAAAATATACATGTCATATTGATTTCCTATGATTTGTGGCTTTCTATTAAGTCACGTGTTCAAAATTCTTCTGTTCCTTATTTTATTCCCTTTTTCTTGCGATTTCTTGTTAAAACAAGACTTTCCTAGATGACCAACGTTTTCGCAATAATGATACCCATTTTGTTTCTTTAAGTTTGCAAGTTTTTGGTGAATAATAACCTCCACATCTAAAACATTATTTTTACTTTTCTTGTTTTTTACTTCTAGTTTCATTACATCATTTGTTTGTTTATTCAATTCCGCAGAGGTTTTCTAAGCTGTCTCAGCAGCCAGCTCTTCATCAGAGACTTTCTTGTAGGTTAGGTTACTGTCTGCCAATAACCTCTGTGATAACCTTCTCAAGCCAGCCACAAACATCTTTACCTAAAAATAGGTTTTCTAAATAGTCAAACGCAAAATTGTAACTCAAATTCCTCAAGTCTGATAAATATTAAGTAATGTAGTCACCAGATTTTTGTACCCGTCTATAAAATTTAAAATGTACATCTTCCTTGGTTTCGGTGTAAAAGGGTTGAATAAATTCTACACCGCTCGCTCATATAGGTTAGTTTCGTTGGACTACGGTGACTATGAACGTGGATTGTTTGTGCTTCCTCACCATATGTCCATAAGATCACTTGTTCTTCACTGATTCCTTGATCTTGTTTGCTTTAAAGTAATACTCGAGTTGTTTCTTATAAACTTCCCATGCCTCTGGCTTCCCTGGAATCACAGAGCACTCTCACTTGTCTACGCTTTTTTAAAAAATTGTTGCGTCTATATAGACACAATGCCTCTCCCAGCTCCTTAAGGAGCGTTGAGCGCACTATGGAGTAATCCTCCGTTAACATTTACAATTGGAATAATCATCCTGTACAAAAGCTCTCTAGAGGTCACTGGGTAGTCGTAGTCGTTCACAGGGGTTGGACTAGCCCCTGTGAAACAAACTCATTTTGTCGTAAGAAATTTCACATGAGGTTCTACGGAGATTCTTTGGCAATGGGGCCTGGAACCTCAGTGGTAAAAGATTTAGATTTCGATTTATTTAGTTAAAAAACAGTAAAAACTCTATGCTACGTATGGGGAGAAGATCATCTGCGCAAGTTTTCTTGAGTCCCAGAATCCCTACCTACCGTTTTAACTATAGTTGAAAGATGAGTTAAAGTTAAAGATTAATAAAAATAAAATTTAATAAAGCACGAGATTAGCAACATTTGAAAATCTAGACATTTTCGTTCCCGAGTTATAGAAAACTTAATTGCAACGGTAAACCAACTGCAGATTTTAATTTTTCTGCTTTGCTAACAAAATAGTAACTCGCCCTTATCTCGTACCACTATAAGCAAAGGGAGATGCGCATACTGGAGCTTCATTTACGTCCAGAAGCAAAAGAAGGGGTCATCTCAGCATTTGCTCAATGGATCAGGGAAACTGGACAAAAACCTGATCGAGGAGGGGGTCATTGACCCGGAAGCTGAAGTACATTATTTGTCACAAGCATATTAAATCTTTTAAAAAAATATAGAATACAACTATAAACTAAATCATTACATATCACTGTTTTGTTAAAATAAACATTATTTTTCTTTTTGATTATCAGTAGAGTATCTGATTGTATAGAAACAGTTATGCAGGAGAAAAGATATTACTTTTAATTTAAATTTGTATACCGACTTTAATTGTTTAATGTCATCTGGCAATGCGTTGTTAAGTAAAGTATATGTATTGATTGTAGATTTCTGGGAGTGAACTGTTGATACTGACACTTGAACATGATTTCCATGACTTATGTTGTAATTATGAATATCAGTAAAACATGAAAATATGTTCCCATAGTCGTCATTTCTGACAAATATTACAGATTCGTAAATAAATAGGCAAGGCAATGGTAAGATTCCAAGCTCAATGAAGAGCCAACTCATCTCGATCAGGTTTTCGTCGTTTTCCTGATCCTCCAGCAAATGCTGAGATGGCCCCTTGTTTTGCTTCTGGACATAAATGTAATTTCAAATTAACTTCTCCCCACAGCACGTCACACACAGTTTTTAACTGTTTTTGACGTAAATAAATAAATAATAAATAAGTAAGTAAATAAATAAAGAGGGGCTTGCAGGGATCACGCTGATGGCATCTTTTCATTCGAATAATTTTCTTTTGCAATCCAAAGGTCTGGGTACTACATGATGAGCTTTCCCAGAATATTATGCCATATCTCAGGCGGGAATGCACATTTGCAAAATACAAGCAACGAGCCGCATGAAGACTGACAAAATTTGAAAGAATTCTGAATGTTTAACATAATGAATTTAATTCTGTTAAACTTTATAAAATACACTAATAAAAGCAAGCAACTTCGCCCTGAGCCACGGGAGCCTACTGCTTGGGATAAATGCTGCCACCGAGCACATCATTCATTAGCCATACAAGTCCCTCTAGAGGGACTTGGGCCAGGAGGTCTTGACTCGACGCCTTGGGCCATCACACGAGTTGTAAACTGTTGTAAACAGCGCTGCTGCCGCTGCGTCATTGACAGCCATCCTCACATATTATCTTCGTCGCTAATTTGTTTCGTAACAAGTTACAAATAACAATCCAAACCTCTACAGAGCCGACTGCAAAACCTACCCCGCTTTTATGTTGTCTAGACTCAGCAATTCTGGTTTATTGAATGTGAACTTCCTGAACGTCACCAATGACGTCCCTATGGTGACGTTCAAACTCCCGATTGGATGAAAGTGTTAACAGTCACAACCTGCCAGCAGCAGATTTGCGAAAATCGCAGTACAGATGGCGTTGACTTTACTGTATTGTCCAATTTCAATAAAGTGCCTTTCGAAGGTCGCGAGCTGGAAGAAAGGGAACACATCCAATTCAAGACAATAATAAAATTGAGTAAAAAAAAAAATTAAAAAAAATAATTTCCTTCGGAAAAAGTTTTCCAATTTAAAATTTGACATAACAATTAATAAACAAAATTTTGTTACAAATGACAAGGATAAAATCTTTTACAGATAAAATGGTGTTTATTGTTTTCATTGTTGTGATTGCTCTGTTGTTTTGTAGGAGACAAAATATGCTCTGTGACAAAGAATAAAGGATCATGTGAATTTCATTAAAGGATGTCTGAAAATTAAAATCAATTTCTTGACATTGCCTATTCATTCTATTTTGACATGCCTAGCATTAATGATAATGAACCCAGGAAATATTCATGATTAATCTAAAAGACAAAGTATTTTTTTTCAAATTACGACAATTTTTTACGTTAATGTACTCCATCTTAAATCATACTTGCCCTCTTCTCCTTGAAGCGAGAATGTATATATTTCAATGGCAATGTTTATCTTTATTTTGATTTTATCTCTCTTTTTTTTTTTTTTTTTTTTTTTTTTTTAATACTTTCATACTTAACTACAACATCCAAATTTATTTTCATTTTCAGACATAAATGAATTATAATTAATTTAATTCTCATCTGATGATGCATAAAACTATTATGTGAAACATTGTGTATCAAAGTACGTGAAAAATATAACATTTTTTGAAACTTTTGTAATGCATTGTCCAAAATGAAAACAGGATACCCCGAGTGTTAAATTATGTACTTTTACTCTACCAAGTCGCAGAATTTTCCATTTAGTGACAAATTAATCCAAAACATTTCTCAGATTGTCAATGGTTTTCTATTTGTATATTTTTAGTTTACAGGCGTATGGCGTCTGTACAAAAGATAGCACAAGGAGTGTGTGTTGCATTTGTGGATTTACATACAAATACATATTTCACTCCATTGAAAGAAAAATTAACACACATATCTATTAAGGCCAAATGTTCAAATATTTTTAATTGACATAGTTTTCAGAAGAGAATTACATGAGCAAAATCATTCTTTCTTATGCATGACATACTTTTTTTTATTACTGTTGTATCAAAATACATGCACTGATGATGATGATGATGATTGTTGTAAAAATATATAAAATAAATATATTATTATTCATTACTGTTTCTGAAATGTAGTTTGTAGCAATATCTCCAAGAAATAATAATGTTGCACAGAACTTTCAGACTAATGATTCAAATTTGGTTCCCTTCAATTTTATTTCAAAAAACAAACTTTTGCTGAAGGCTGTAGAGATGAATGTGAATGTTTCACAAAGAAAAGTTGGGAACAAATGAAAAGTATAAGGCTGATGTTTTTCTTAATAAAATGTAACTTTACAATGAGTATGAATAATATTCAATACATATATTTACCAAAATAGCAACCAAAACTTCATTACAAAACTGTTATATTTCTCGTACAATATTACAAATGCACTAATGTCTACCATTACATATTAATAAAAGTACTCATAAACAACATTTGTTCCATCATCCTGGTGGACTGAGGGGACAGGAGAGGTCATGTTTGGATGACAAAACACATTTCCTCCTTTGGGAAGGTCACTAAGTTAGTTGAAGAGTAGAAAAATAAACTTAAAAACTATTTTAGACATGAACAATAAAGAGAAATCATCTTATTTGAATTGAAAGTTAAAACCTAGTTTTCCAATCACTAAGTATTCATCCAAGAATGCCAAAAGAGTGTTTTCTGAATGTTATACAAAAAATTAAACTGATCATTTGGTTTTCTAAACCACAAAGTTGTTATTAGTGTTCAGCTGCATCAATTCAGGAACTGCATTTAAATTCAAATGTAAAGTCAAATTCTTTATAAGCAGTCACTTTTCTATCATATACATTTCTGTGCTGGTATCAACAAAATTAATTTGTTAAGAGTCATCAATATCTGAATAATAGAGAGGTGTAAGTCAAGTAGCGTAATTCACAATTAAATTCAAAATACTTGATCTGATGTATGACAGTTCTGGTCTTCAAGATCAATTGAAGTATGTTTGAACAGAATAAAATTATATTCATTAATGTTACTTTACCTTTTTTAATAAAATTGAAAGACCAATTACATACATAGTATATTTCAACTTAGCGCAGCATTAAATTACAATATACTGTCACTAAATAAAACAGCCAAAATATTACTTCTAAAAGATTCGATGGGAATGTCCTAGCTGTGAACACAAGTTTCAAATAATGTAAGTCTTTACAATACATACAGTTTTGAATGTCAGTTTATTGTCATTATGTAGTCTCACTGTTTTTTATGAATCCCCAGGTTCACTTTTGTCCTGATCTTTTTCACCATCATAAAATTCATTGTCAGGTTCAATACGACGATCTTCTTCTGCCGTAGGAAGACGAGTGTCTGGGTCAGGTTCTGGCTCATGACTTCCATCCAACAATGAAGGAAAAGCATCATCAGGTATATCCTGCATCTGAACACTAGGTGAGTGCTGACACATCTTCAAGTTATCATACACTTGTTTTGTGATTGCTTCCAGATACTGTTTTGAATTAGCATTTTCTTGACGAGTTACCACATCTGGATGAAGTGTAAAATCGGGAGCAAAATACTCCAAATATTCAGTGTATGGAAGTTCATTGCTAATATTTTCATCGACTAGCAGTGAAGTTTCATATGTCCAACACCGAGCAACATTACGCAAAGTGTAACCTCCGCCTCCAACAGTCAATAAAGGCACCCCCAAATCTCGAACAAATCTAAAAAAAGAAAATACTTTTAAATTTTGCTAGAAGAGAAATATCTCATTAGAAATTATCAACGTCAAGAATGTTACTAGAACAGAACATCATTAGGTGTAAAAAATACAATCTCTAGTAAACAATAAAATGATCTTAGTTTGAGAAACAAACACAAGGTTTGAAATAAACAAATAACAAAAATGAGACAAAAATGTAGACATTATATTTAGAGGCTTTTATGCATTATTACTACTTTTTCTGCGAAGGATACAATGTGTCTAAATGAAAGTTACAGTTAATTTTGCAATAATTGTAATGCCTGAAACAATGAGTGAGTGGTCTCAGCACTTCTATTATTATAATTCGAATCAGCTAAATTTACAATTTAGTAAATGTTTGACTTTTTTAATTGTCAAATATTCACGACCTACAAATATATGTGATTAACCTATAATGCCAATAAATAAAAGAACCAACCAATGATGACAATGCCAATAATAATAATAATAATAATAATAATAATAATAATAATAATAATAATAATAATAATAATAAAAATGTTAATGGAGGATTAATACTAGTAAGCGTTCAACTCCCTCCTAGGGGTTTGGAGACATGTTGCCTGAGTATCAAATGCAACAAATTTAAATAAATAAATTTAAAAAAGAAGAAGGAGATACTCTGCAATAAGTCTATTAAATTTCACTTCTTTGTTCTCTTCAAATAATGAAACCACAGCTTATATATTTTTCCTGCTCTAATTCATAGGTCACATTGAATATTGGAATTAACCAGTGAACCTCCACTTCCTCATGGTTTGCAGTATTATTGCACAAGTTCACTTATTTGTAGTTGTAAATTGGGCCACCTATGAAGTTCCCACATAGAGCAAAATATAGCCAAAAATTATAATTTATAATAATTATAGTTACTTCATTAAAGTTAGAAATAGGAAGGTTTTCTTCTTTCTTCACACACATTAATTAAACTCAAACATTCAGAAAAGTATTAATTAATAAGTCACTAATGGCCATAGCAATTGATGTAATTTCAAATAAATGAATACTTATTCAAATAAATAAAAGTACTTAACTTCCTTTTTCTTTTCGATGATCATCAATAAATCCAGGTAAAGTTCTTAAATTTGTGATTCAACAATTTACATTTAAGGCTTCACAATTAAAAATAATTAAGAAAAAGTATGATTTTATTACATTTTAATTAATTTAGTTAAAATTGTTCAAACCAATATACTAGGAGCCGAACCTGGACATTTTTGTTTGAGTGTAGTTGCTCTGACCACAAGTTATTGGTGATGACAATAATTCATTTAATTTATTTTCATTTTATGACTAAAAAAAAATTATCTTGCTTCAATTTGTATATATTAACCTCTGAAATTCTTCGAAGGATGGCTACATATTTTCACAAATGTATATTTTAAAACAGAATAAACCTTGATCTTTAATATTAGTGATCTTGGAAATTTAAAATCATTCTTCGCTATATAAATGTGTATGTGTGTGTGGTGTGTGTATCATAAAGATTAAAGCAGAGATTTTTTTTTTTTTTTTTTTATTCTTTTGCTATCCTCATACATTAAACATGCTTTACATATGTGTTGTGGTTCATCGCTTTTTAAAAAACCAAAATTTTGTTTGTATATTGTAATAAACAAAAAATTGTGCTCGTGTGTGTGTGGTGTTGTGTATATCCTATATATATATATATATATATATATATATATATATATATATATATATATATATATATACACACATACATAATTATAAATTGTATGATTGCATTATGTATCTTTGCATACTGCTTTGTTCTATTTCTGTTCAATTTATAAGTCAATTCTTTTAGGTTCTATTATATTAGAAATGTAGGAAATAGAATTATGTTGACTTTATCTAAATAAAAGAAAATGTTATTTATCATATTTGTATTGAAGATCAATCTGCATCAACATGTCTGTATTAGCTTTGTTTTGCATTTGTAATGTATACTTATTTGTTGTGTTGATATTTTTTTAAATAGTTTACTAAAAGCCTTGTCCCTTATATTACGTTATCTTACTATGATCTACTCTATTACATTATCAGAAATAAATAATATAATGGAACCTTGAATAAATAATATTGAGTAAACATCATTTTAAATTTAATCTCAAATAAAACTTGCAAACATTTATCTGAACAAGCTTTGCCTACAAATAAACCATATCAACACAGAACAACACAAAATGACTTACTTTACACATTCTCCATGGCCCTTCGTAGAGAGAGAGAAACATCCTAAACGGTCATTGGCTAATGAATCTGCTCCACACTGAAGTACAATAGCTGTTGGTCTATAGAATTCCATGACACTTGATATAACTGGCTTAAAAACACTTAAATAGCTATTATCATCTATTCCCTCTTTAAGTGGAACATTTACAGAGTAATATCTTCCACTCTCAGCGCCCACTTCATACATATCTCCAGTTCCAGGAAAAAAGTAATTTCCATACTTATGAAAAGACACTGTCATCACACGATCAGTCAAATAAAATGCCTCTTGCACACCATCACCATGATGTACATCAATATCAATATACAACACTCTTGCATGATATTTTAAAAGTTCTAATATACCAATAACAATATCATTTACATAGCAAAATCCTGATGCTTCAAATTTTTTAGCATGATGAAGACCTCCCGACCAATTAATTGCTATGTCACAACAGCCATTATTTAATTTCATTGCACCTTCAAGTGAAGCTCCAGTGTACATAGAACAGAAATCAAAGAGACCTTCAAACACAGGACAATCATCACCAACATTGAAATGACTCAAATATTTGGTGAATCCTTGAAGATTCTGTGGGGTGACTCGTTGGAGAAATTCTATATATTCATCAGAATGAAAACGACACATATCGTGAGCACTGGCTCTATATGGTCTGTATATTTGCATTTTTTTATACAAGCCATAATTGAGAACTAGACTATGAATCACTGACAGTCGATGAGGTTTCATTGGATGCCCTGGTCCATAGTGGAAATTGCCCACATCTGGATTGTAAAAATACGCTACCACTTTCTTTGACATTATGCATAGGTAATCTCAGTTCTTTAACAGTCTTGGTTCGGTTCTTTTAAGTTGTCATAAAAAGAAAACCAAAACACAATTCATCCCAAAACAACGGTACTTGGAATGGAGCCAATAAAGTGGGTTAGAAGTAACTGGTATATTTTTAAAATGATCAGATATTATTAAAATACGTCAAACACTTAATAACAATACAAGATATTTCATTCCACTTTCCTAATTATACACACGATTAAAACCAATAATAACAGCCAAAATATTTCATATAAGCGCAATTGATACGAGTCTAAACATTCTTCAAGTAATAACACTTTTCACTGACGGTCTTAACCTCCTTAACCTCTAGCTCAGTTCCTTGTTTACGAGCATTTCCTTGTCGTCCTTGACTATGCGAGATATCTTGTTTACTCGATCCAATTCCTATTCTATTTTTTCTGTGACAGTGACTCGAAAGTTCAAAGAGTGTAACTTGATCTCATGCAAATTCTATGGATCAAATGACAAATGTAAAATGTTATATAGCTAATAATAGTCTTCTGAATATTCCTTCTTCTTTATTTAAACTATTGCTATAGACACTATAGGATTCATAGATTCTGGTTCAACTGAATCTTTCAAAGAAGAGCAGGACCAGCGCTAGATTATTTTGTGCCTCAGACAAAATGAGATGTTTGCGCCCCCATATAATATTAATAATAATGCGCCCCCTCAGATAATGAATTCTTGATTTAAAGAAATAATGAACACACATACTTATTATTGTTCAGAATTCCAGCATAAAGACAACAATGTCAAATTAAAATGAAATCGACAATTATGGAAACAAATTATGCATAGCGAAGTTTTCAAAATGAAAAATTATTTTATTAAAAATATGATCAGTACCAATAAGCCGAAATTTAAAAAAATCAAAATGTAAGAAGACATTTCTACTACTCATATACTTATAAAGTTCTTGCAACATGCGTAATATAAATAATGAATATTCTTTGATGAATTTGAATGAATATGAATGACTTCCTTGATTATAAATTCTCGAAAAGGAAAACATATTATTTTCCTGGTTATTATTGTCCTGCTTTCTCATATACAAACTCAATATAAAAATCCTTGTTTTGCAGGTGTCCGAGGAGGAAACGTCGAAATTTCGGAAGAAAGCACTTAAAAATTTGAAACATATTTGGTCCACTTGGATGATCCGAATGGTTGAGCTGTAATAAACACTCGAAAGTTGGTTAGAAAAAATCTTTCTAGGCAAAACTTTGCATTGCAGAAGCATATAAACACTCTAGAAACACGTAAATTATTTATTATTTACAAATGAAATCTATATATTTGTTCACAAAGAAAAACTAACACAAAAATAAACTAGTCTATACAATGGCGCAGACCTTTCCGTATTAGATTTCTATTTCCATTGGTCTCGGCTAGTTATTCGGACTTGCCACATACACTTGCCAGCTGCTATATATTGCCGCCCAAAGTACATTTTTTGAAATTCCCATACTTTTTCGGCTTCCGAATAGTAGAACGGAAATATTATTTTAAGAATATTTAAGAACAATAAAACCTCGTTCTAAATTGCAAATTTCTTTCAAAAATTTGGAGCCGTTTTTAAGAAAATGGCTGCTGTAAATTCGAAATTTGAACCTCTTTTCAAAGAAAACTAAAGAGTTTTCGAAAAACATCATATGACGTCATTTCAAGTACTTCCAGACACAAATGCAATAGACTTTACAAATAGCTGGTAAATGTGCATATTAAAGGCGTGAGAGATCTTTTAAAAATATATATTGTGTAATTTTTGAAAAAGCAAACGAATACAGTAAAATTAATTCTATGTCATCTTAAACAGTTCAATAGCACTATCTGTTGGAAAAGTTGGAAGAAAAATTTGGAGTAATTTTTTAGAATTGGCGTTTGAGCGTTTCTAAAAATGTGGAATTTTGAGCTTATTTTCACGGGAAACTAATGAGTTTTCAGGAAACTTTACCAAACATTATTTAAAGCACGTGTACTCATAAATACATTAATGTAAAGAAATTTCCTCTAATGTAAATATTAACGACGTGAGAGACAAGCCAAAGCAAATTTGTAATTTTTGAAAAACCAAAAGAATAGAGCAAAATTACATTTTATCCTCTTACAAGAGTGCTATTAGCACTACACTACCAAAAGTTTAAGGAAAAAAATTGGAGCTGTTTTTGAGGAAATCATGTTTTTGCAGTTTTTAAAATTGCAAAAATTGCACACAATATTGCATGAAAATTAGTAAAATTTTCAAAAACTGTACATGACGTTAATAAAAGAACTAATTATTGACAACAAAATTTTATATGAAGGAAAAATCTCTATCTTCAACTTTGTAGTTGCAGGATGACGCGGAAAAAATTCAAACTTTAGCAATTTTCAAAAAATTAGAGTTAACCATGAAAATAGGACCTATGCCACCTTTATGCGTATTTTACTCTATTCTTACAAGAAATTTAAAGAAAAAAATTGGAGAAGTTTCTGAGAAAATTTTGAAAATGTAGGGAGGGCTTCATATAAAGTACCCCCAGATTTTAAAGAATAGTTTTCAAAATTTCAGAGCTTCGACTCGAGCCAGACACTTCAATTAAGAAAAATGGTTTAGGCGCTAGTAGTGTTCACAGACGTACAGACAGACAGATGGACAGACAGATGGACAGACAGATGGACAGACAGATGGACAGACAGATGGACAGACAGACAGGCAGACAGACGGGCAGACAGACGGGCAGACAGACGGGCAGACAGACGGGCAGACAGACGGGCAGACAGACGGACAGACAGACGGGCAGACGGACAGATAGACGGACTGACGTCTTGAAAAAAAACACTCTTTCGGTATCAGGGGATCTCAAAACGTGTATTTACGTGAATATCTCAAAATCGATTTTCCGCAGCATTACGTAACATTGCCCTATACTACGTATATAACTCCGTATACGGGAAAGTAAAAAGCACCCAATTTACACTACATTTACCCAAATACATGTTTTGGTGTCCCCTAAAACCGAAAAAGTGGTTCGTTTCAAAACGTCCACCTGTCCGTCTGTGAACACCACTAGCGCTTAAACCATGAGTAGGATGTTTTCCAAATTCAAGAAACCCCAGTCCATCTGGCTCGAGTCGAAACTTTGAGATTTTGAAAAGCATTCTTTAAAATTTGGCGGTCCTTTACATGAAGCATGACATTTGGACTTTTTCAAATATTTTTCAGAAACATTTCCAATTTTTTCTTCAAATTTCTTGTGAGAATAGAGTAACATACTCTTATAAAAGTGTCTTTGGACCAATTTTCATGGTTAAATCTAAATTTTCGTAAAATTTAAAAGTATGATTTTTTCGGTGTCTTCATACAAGTACAAAATGAAAGGTAAGGATTTTTCCTTCAAATACAAGTTGTTCTTCATCGTGAATTCTTTGATTAAGGTCATGTACATTTTTTGAAAATTTTAGTATTTTTCGCGCAATATTGCGTACAATGTGTGCAATTTTTAAAAAAATTGCAAAACGATTTTCTCAAAAACCTCTCCAAATTTTTTCTTTAAACTTTTGATATGGATTGTGCTAAATGCACTCTATAAGTTATATGAACGCCATATTGCACGGCTATTCTTTTATTGTTGGTTTTAATTTAAAAATGTAATTTTTTGACTTGTCTCTCACGTTGTTAATATGTACACTAGCGGCAATTTGTTCACATTATTATATTTACGAATATATGTGCTTTAAGTAATGTCACATTAAGCTTCTCGAAAATTCAGGCGTTTTCTGTGAAAACTAGCCCAAAATGCCGCATTTTCAAAAACGCACAAACGCCATTTTCTCAAAAACGACTCCACGATTTTTCTTCCAACTTTTCGAATGAACGTGCTATTTGCACTCTTTAATATGATGTAAAGTTCATTCTCACGCCGGTAGAATGCACATTTCCAACAATGTGTAAACACTTTTTTATTTGTGAGTTAAAATGCTTCAAATGACTTCTAATGAAATTTTTCGAGAATTTGACACTTTTCTGTGAAAAAGTCCTTCAAATTTCGAATTTACTATAGCACTTATGAGCCGTTTTCTGAAAACAGCTCCAATTTTTTTTCAAAGAAAATTGCCATTTAGGATGAGGTTTAACTGTTTTTTAAAATTCTTAAAATAATATGTTCATTCTACTATTAGGAAATCGAAAAATTCAAAAAATTTCAAAGAAAAGTTACACGAGCCCCTGTTACACGAGGAGAAAATGCCAAATTTTTGGCTGTATACGCAAATAATAATAAAGAATCCTAAATAACCCATAAAGAATAATTCTTTTCTCTCCTATCATATTCACTAGATAAGTAGGTAATAATAGCATTAGAGAACAATATTTAACGTAATATTTAGACTACCTTTTTTGCAAAAAATTATCCACGACAAAAATATTTTTTCTCAAAATTTTGATTATGGTTCACACTATTTTCTTTTGCACACATGAATAACTTAGTTTGCTTCATCACAGGATTCTGTATGAGCAACGAGGACTGAATTGCTCTGTATATTATAGCAATTGGATGGATACGAAAAAAGAGCGAATTTGTATTTTATTAGTATAAGTTTTGTTAGTTTATATCAGAAAACAGTTAATTAAGTTCATTAATAATTTTTGTAATCAATGAGATCTTAGTCAGATAAGGTTCCCCTTTCATAATTCGGCTGTAAACTCCCAATTGTCCCATTGATCATCTCTGAACCCTTCAAAATTTCATCGGCCCGGAGGGGTCTATACCGACTCGCTTTGGGAACCCCTGGTGTAGAACGTTCCTGAAGATGTATTTTAACCGTGTTCATCTTTTTGCCCGAAGAGAGATGTACTCCATCCTGCTTCGAGCACGCAGCGACCTGGCAACAAGCGCCTGATGTGTTCGCGGGTCCTCGACCCCTTGTCTTTCAAGGCCAACGCTCCGAGAGGCGCGCGCGGCGTCTGCTTGCGCCAGGTCGCCTCTTGGACGCCACCGATCGATTCCTTCACAACGATCCGGTTCTAAAGGTCGTTGTTCTTTGGGCACCCGTAACCAAATAATACCCTGCTGCTCTACTTCAGAGACTGTTCAGAATTCCTTAATAGTCTAATGCCAATACTATTCCTGTACCTGGAGATAACCAATGATGAAGATCAACGACTGACTTTTAGAAAAAATTGGAATATAATTGAAAGCATTTTAAATTTTTTAAACAATTTCGTAATGATTCATTTATTTTCAAAATGCTCTGCGTGTTCATGTTAAAATATATCCAGTTTTTGAGGTATGGAACAGAAATATACATTGAACATTTTCTGTTCTTTGCTATACTTTCCACAAGGACATATATCACCATCATCATCCTAAAATCAAAAGTGTCTTGTCGCTGCTGCCTTGACAATCTATTATCCGCTGTCCTCGTCACCTTTGTTTAATTTCTGAACTGCAGATTGTTTTGAAGTTCTTCTAAAATTTTCATTCAGTGTCTACCTCTTCCTCTTATTATAACTACTTGCAATCAAAAACTGTACTTAACAATTGGTTATGTCT